AGAAGAGGCAGTCACTGAGTAAAATACATGAGAACAGGGGTCGACAAAAGTTTTCTGCAAGGGCCGAACTGTGATTTTTCTTAAACAGAATATTCCCTTCAGATTTTAAAATGTTATTATTGATTTCAGAGAGAGGAAGGGAGAGGGAGAGGGAGAGGGAGAGGGAGAGGGAGAGGGAGAGGGAGAGGGAGAGCGAGGGAGAGAGAGAGAGAGAGAGAGAGAGAGAGAGAGAGAGAGAGAGAGATACATCAATGATGAGAGAGAATCATTGATTGGCTGCCTCCTGCACACTCCCCACTGGGGATCAAACCCAAAACCTGGGTATGTGCCCTGACCAGGAATTGAACTGTGATCTGGTTCATAGGTTGATGCTTAACCACTGAGCAGCATCAGCTGGGCCAGAGTATAAATATTTTTGACTTGGCAGGCCATACAGTCTCCATGGCAACTATTTAACTCTAGACAATAGATAAACAGATGGATGCGGCTGTGTCCCAGTGAAACTTTATTTATATGGACACTGCAATGTGAACGTCATATGAAATTTTCACGTGCCAGAAAATATTACCCTCTTGTTGTTGTTTTTACCCCAACTGTTTAAAAATATAAAAACCATTACAAGCTCACAGGCGGTATAAAAGCAGGCGGCTGGCTGGATTCAGCCTGCCACTGTGATCTGCACAAGAATGGGAGTTTTACAGGGATTTTTAAAAATATATATTTTATTGATTTTTTACAGAGAGGAAAGGAGAGGGACAGAGAGCTAGAAACATCGATGAGAGAGAATCATCAATCAGCTACCTCCTGCACAACCCCCAACGGGGACGTGCCCGCAACCAAGGCACATGCCCTTGACTGGAATCGAACCCAGGACCTTCCAGTCCGCAGACCGACGCCCTATCCACTGAGCCACACCGGCTTCAGCCACAGGGATTTTTCGATGCCTGGTTGGTTAGTGTGGCCACAGGGCCCAGGACAGTGCCTGCCACAGGCGGGTTCTCCGTGAAGCTGTATGAAATGAATGAATCCACGCACAGAAGGGTCTTGGGCGGGTCTTTAGGGCTGGGCGTTGGAAGGAGGGGAATAGCATTCAAGGAGCGAAGGCGGGGTGTGGGGGTGAGCCCAGAGAAGCCATCGGTGCCCGGGAGACAGCTGGGCAGCAGGCCGGCTGTGGCCAGGCAGCGAGGGGTCTGGGATGGGACGGGAGGCAGGCGAGGGGGTGGATGCTCAGGGAGTGGTTCCCGGGGCTCAGACCCTGCCCCTCTCCCCGAACCGCCGGCCTTATTTTTAACCCTGCTGACGGGAGAGAGGAAAGATAATCCCAATGAAATCAAGAAGAGTGGCTGATCCCTGCCCCTCCCTCTGCCCCAGTTACGGCTCCGTCCCTGCGCCCCGCGGGGTCAGAGGTGCCCTCGTCCAGAGGACTCCTCCCGGACTCCGTGCGTGGTCGCAGCAGGAGAAATGGTTCCTGCCGAAACCGGTGTGGCTCACTGGATAGAGCGTCGGCCTGGGGGCTGAAAGGTCCCGGGTTCGATTCCTTTCAGGGGCAGGTGCCTTGGTTGCGGGCACATCCCCAGTAGGGGGTGTGCAGGAAGCAGCTGATGGATGATTTTCTCCCATCGATGTTTCTAATTCTCTTCCTCTCAGTAAGAAATCAATAAAATATATTTTTTTAAAAAATGGTTCCTGCATTTGCGCAGCAGGATGGGGAGAGATCCTGGTGCTTAAAGAAACATCCCCCGCGCCCCCCCCTCCCCGGCTCCTAGGGGCTGAGCAGCTGGAACTGCAGTAGGGAGAGCTGGACTTCGCTCCGTCTGCCCGGCACGTGCCTCTCAGATGTTCGTGAGCAGCGGGAGCACCTGCAGGGCTCCGCGCACACAACCTCCGGCACATTCCTAGTCAGTCGGTCTGGGGTGGAGCCCGAGAATCTGCATTCCCAACCAGCTCCCGGTGCTGGGAGGCTGGGGCGGGTGCGTGCACCACACTGCGAGGCATTGAACTAGAAGCAGGGTCCTGGGTGACAGCCTGTCTCCACTGTGAGCTGCCAGTCACACTCCATCAAGACCGTCTCTGGCCCAGGGTGCGAGAGCCCGAAGGCCGGCTAAGTAATCAGGGCTTTATGCTGAGCCTTGGGCACATTTGAAGCAGCAGGTGACTGGTTTAAGCCAGTTCCCCACGCCCACCAGGGCCTCTGTGTGCAGTCAGTGGGAGGGAGCGAGCCCGGAGCAGGGATGCGGGCTGGGGGGGCGGGCGGGTAATGGGGGGAAGAGGGGGGGAGAAGTGCTTTGCAGAAGTGACGGAGGAATGGAGAGACAGGCAAATTCAAGAGCCATAGAGACAAGAGGTGGTGACGGATGGCTGTGGGTGTTGGAGGAGAGGGGGAGGGAGGGCGCAGGAGGACGCTGGGACTCCTGGCTTGGAGGCTGGGCCCTGGGGAGCCACACCAGAGATCTCAGGCAGCGAAGAGGGGGCTGATGGAGGAATCCGCTGGCCAGACTGCGGGACATGAGCAGAGAGTGTGCTGTGTGGCTGCCCGCTCTGGCTCTGTGGAGGGTCCACAGATGACCCCCCCTCCCCCGGCCACCCTGGGCGTCCTCCAGGGCGCAGTGCGAAGGCTGCCATGGGCCCGAGGATCCCGCAGCAGAGCCCCAGAGCCCCGGAGCCCCGGAGCCGGCTCACCCAGCTCACTTTACCAAAAAAAGGGCATTTTCTCAGTTGGAAGGTTTGCCCAGCGTTCCCTGCTCCCCCCACCTGGGGTTTCAGGTTCCCAGGGACTTACGTGTCTCCGAAAAGTTTAGAACTTTGAATCACACATACCCACGGGCCGGCACGTGCATGTAGCACAGCCTGGGATGTGTATGTAGCACAGTGAGTTTTGGTGTCACAAATGTCTCCTCCTCCTCCACCTCCCCTGTACCGTCCTCCTCCTCCCTTGTATGGTCTTCCTCCTCCTCCTCCCCTATACCGTCCTCCTCCTCCTCCTCCCCTATACCGTCCTCTGCTCCCCTGTACCGTCTTCCTGCACCACTACAACCACCACCGACAACACCACCATCACCATCATCGCCATCATCGCCACCATCGCCATCATCACCCTCCCTCAGCCCGTCCTGGGCTGTCACACACTCCCATACGCTGCCTCTCGGCTGCACAGCACCTCCAGGAGAATTATTACCCTACAGTTAAAGGACTGAGGCACAGAGAGGCAAAGAAGCCACACACCCAGGATCCTCGAGCCCAGGGGTGCTGGGACAGAGCGAGGAGAGCGAGGGGGGCGCGAGCAGGCGCTGGGTCTGACCTGGTCTTTATTAAATTTGTCCACAGCGTAGTCATCAAGGACTTTTCTTTGCATGGATTTTGACTTTAAAAAATATCTCATTAAAATATTATGTATCTCAATTACCAATTTTTTTTTTTTTTTGCATCCCCCTACATTTAGACCGGGGTGGATGGCTTTAGGCGTCAGCCTGGCCCCAGCCGTGGCAGAGCCAAACCTGGGCTGCTTAGCTGTCCCCTATGCTGCCCCCTTGCCTGTGCCTATGTGCATGGCGCATGCACTCGTGTACGCTTTCACTCGGTAAAGCGTGCTCTCCTTCAGTAAGCATCATCCTGGCGGAGCGGGGAGGCCAGCTGCTTGGGGATCAGGTAGCTCTGGGCTTGAACTCCACTACTTACTGGGTTTTGTTTTGTTTTAATATATATATATATGTATATATATATAGCAAAGGTGGTGATTTACTGAAGAACAAGTACAGACTTCACGTAGGGGAGGGGGAGAGGGAGGAAAAAAATATTCTTTTATTGAGTTAGATAGAGGAAGGGAGAGGGAGTGAAAGAGAAACATCAGTGTGAGAGCAAAACATTGACGGGTTGCCGGCTGCCTCTTGCAGGCCCCCTGCCAGGGATTGAGCTTGACACTGAGCACGTGCCCTGACCGGGAATCGTACATGAGATGATGCTCAACCAACTGAGCCACTCCGGCCGCCCCAGTCCTCACTGCTGAGCGGAAGCCCAGCCCGTGGTTCAGGACACAGACTAGCTCCGGGCAAGCCTGGCTCAAACCCGCCCTCTGCCCCCTGCTGGCCGAGGAGGCGTGGGCGAGAGCCCTAAAGCACGCTGTGCTGATGTCTCCTCTGTAACGGGGGTGACGGTGATAACGTCGGCCACAGGCCGTTATTGGGGAACTAAGTGAGTGGATTTCTGGGAAGCCCTTGGCATACAGCAAACACTCTGTGTGTGTTCACTGTCATGTTGCATCCTGGGGCAGGTTTCCCCACCTGCGAAGCAGGGACAGGAAAGACTACCTCCCGGGCGGTTTTGAGGACCGAAAGGGACACCATAAAGGGCTTGGCACGTGGTAGGAGCTTAGTAAAACCTCCCTCATCGGGGGCCCCATTCCGCGCTGGAGGCTGCGATTCAGAGACACAGGTGCCTCTCCTGGCGGAGGCATCAACTCGCCTGCACACGTGAGCGCAGACTTGACCGTTCAGCTCCCCAGAGCTCTCACCCCCTCTCAGGCCTCTGCACAGGTCTTCCCTCTCCCTGGCTCGCTGACCCCCCGCCCCTCTTGGGGGTCCATAGGTGTGACCGGATACCGTAGGGGTCTGGGCACAAAAAAAGTTCAAGTGCCCTGCTCTGGGGCCTGGGCCTCCTTTGCATTTCACCAGCAACAGGAGGAAAAAGATGAAGCAGGGAATCACGGGAGATGTTTTTTATGGGTCAGGACAGGAAAGAACATACATCACTCCTTCCCACAATGCACTGGCTAAGACTCAGTCACCTGACCATGCCTAGCTGCAAGGGAAGCTGGGAAATGTCTACCTGTATGCCCGGAAAGTAGAGGAAGTGGCCTGGGGAATGCACAGGATTGGGCCGCAGGGCTCCATCAGTATTCCTCACGGCCGGGGTGGATGGATGCCCTCTCCAAGGCGTGTCTGTGAGTCGGGGAGAAGGGACAGTTCTCGGGAAGGATGCTGAGTTTCCATCGTGTTGTCTCCTAGGACCAGCCACGCCAAGGCCAAAGCCGAGGCCGCCGAGCAGGCCGCCCTGGCCGCCAACCAGGAGTGCAGCGTTGCCCGCAGCCTGGCCAGGGAGCTGGCTCCGGACTTCTACCAGCCAGGTAGGCCGGCCGAGGCGGGGACCGACCGCCAGGACCGGGTGCGGGGGGTCCCCACGGGCGGGCACGTTCCTCTCTCTCCGCCGGAAAGCCGAGGCGCCCAAGTGGCTGTGAGTCCCGGAAGCCGTGGGGCCTGACAGGTGTGGGATGGCTGACACAGGCTCGTGCTGAGACTGTGGTGGGATATCAGAGGCCCCGCTGCCGGCCGGCCGGGCTCCAGGCTGGCTCTTCTCCCTGAAGAGGGAGGAGGACTCCTGGCTATGACACGGACCTTGTACTGAGAGTGACGGGACGGGAGCCCCCTACCCCCCTACCCCCCCATGGGGTATTGTTGTTCTCTGCATGAAGGGTTTAAGGTGAGCGGCCCGATCAGATTTGTTTTCTCAGCATTACCCTGGCTGCAGCAAGGAGCCGGGAACAGGGACCCTGTGCCTGCGAGGCTGAGCTGCCTCTGGTCCCAGCGCTCCCCCTGCTGGTCCCAGGGAGAGCAACACTGGCTGGCGGTCAGGCCATCGCTGTCCCTGGGGGACAGGCCCTGCATTTAATTAATCCTCTTCCTAGTCATTGTGAAATAGGCCTGATTAGGCCACTATTTCAGAGAAGGGGGTGGAAAGAGACCAGTGTGGCCGTAAAAGCACGGAGTCCGGAGCCAGACTCCCGGATGCTCGTCCTGGCTCTGCCCTTTGGCATCTGGTGCCCTTGGGCAAGTGGTGTCACTCCTCCCAGTCCCCCTTTCATAGAGAGAGAGAGAGAGAGAGAGAGAGAGAGAGAGAGAGAGAGAGAGAGAGAGAGAGTTAGAAACATCGACGAGAGAGAGAGAGTCATCGACCAGCTGCCTCCTGCACACCTCCCCACCGGGGACGCACATGCCCTTGACCGGAATCGAACCTGGGACCCTTCAGTCCGCAGGCCGACGCTCTATCCACGGAGCCACACCGGTTTCGGCGAAGCCTCCCTTTCTTCCCCTGTAAAACAGAGGCGAATACATAACATGGACCTACAGGGTCACTCAAACCAGCAGGGGGGTCGTGTTTGGAAATAGGTAGGTGGTGGGTAGGCGCGGGCCTGGCCGGGCCAGCCCAGGAGGCCGCGGGCGCCTGGGTGGGACCGGGACTCGAACCCGTGGCCCTGTCGCCCGCAGGCCCGGAGTACCAGAAGCGCCGGCTGCTGCAGGAGATCCTGGAGAACTCGGAGAGCCTGCTGGAGCCGCCGGGCCGGGGCGCGCCGGCGCGGCCCCCCGAGGGCGCCCCGTCCCCGGCCGGGACGCCCCCGCCGCCCAAGCGGCCCCGCCCGGGGGCAGCGGCGGCCGCGGACGGCCCGGGCCCCGGCGCCTGGAACGGCGAGCGGGACGCCGCGGGCAGCGGGCCCGCCTCGCCCGGCCGCCCGCGCCCCGCGCGCCCCGCGCACATGGCCATCGAGGCGCTGCAGGCGCCGCCCGCGCCCGCGCCCGAGCCCGAGGCGGCGCTGTACCGCGGCTACCACAGCTACGCCGTGCGCACCGGGCCCGCGCCGCCCCCCGAGCAGCCCGAGCCCGGGTCCGAGGCCTCGGGGTCCGACTCCGGGCCGCCCTCCCCGGCCGCCGCGCCCGCGCCCGCCGCGCCGGAGCCCGCGCCCGCGCCCGCGCCCGCCGCCAGGCTGGAGCCCAAGCCCATCGTGCCCAAGGGCGAGCCCCAGGCCAAGGCGCGCAGGGCGGAGGCCCGCGGGCTGGGCAAGGCGGCGGCGGGCCGGCGGCGGCCCCGGCGGGAGGCGGCCGCGCCCGACGCGGAGGTGGAGGAGGTGAGGCCGCCGCTGCTGTGTGTGCGTGTGTGTGTGAGTGCGTGTGCGTGCGTGTGCGTGCGTGTGCGTGTGCGTGTGTGTGTGTGCATGTGCGTGTGCGCGCGTGTGTGTGCGTGTGCGTGTGCGTGTGTGTGTGTGTGCGTGCGTGCGTGCGCGTGTGTGCGTGTGTGCGTGTGTGCGTGCGTGTGTGTGCGCGTGTGTGTGCGTGTGTGTGCGCGCGCGTGTGTGTGTACGTGCGTGTGTGTGCGTGTGCGTGCGTGCGTGCGCGTGTGCGCGTGCGTGTGTGTGTGCGTGTGTGTGCGTGTGTGCGTGCGTGTGCGTGTGTGTACGTGCGTGCGTGCGTGCGTGCGCGTGTGCGCGCGTGTGTGTGCGTGTGTGTGCGTGTGTGTGCGTGTGTGTGCGCGTGTGTGTGTGTGTGTGTGTGCGTGCGTGTGTGTGTGTGTGTGTGTTGGGGTCGAGGGGTGGGGGGAGAGACACAGGATTGGGCCGGGGACCCCAGCAGGGATGTGTGCTCAGGCGTGGACAGCCTGTCCCTGTAAGACGTGGGAGCCTGTGGCCTGCAAAGGATGGCCTGGCCTTTTATATAAATAAATATAAAAATATATATATATGAGAAGGGAGAGGGATAGAGCTAGAAACATCGATGAGAGACAGAGAGAGAGACATCGATCAGCTGCCTCCTGCACACCCCCCACTGGGGATGTGCCCCCAACCAAGGCACACGCCCTTGACCGGAATCGAACTCGGGACCCTTCAGCCCGCAGGCCGACGCTCTATCCACTGAGCCACACCGGTTTCGGCTGGCCTGGCCCTTGGACCCTTATCTGGTCAGCAGGGGGCAGTTCTTTGGAGCCTGGGGCAGCTGGGAGCCTGAGCAGCTGGCAGGGAGGGAGGGGTGCGTCTGCAGAGCCGGGGTGTGAGGGGGAACAGGGTGTAGCAGGGAGGGCTTCCTGGGGTGAAGGAGGGGCCCCCTGGGGCGTGGGTTCCGGCCCTTCTGGCTTGTCAGAGGAGTAAGGTGACCAGACGTCCTGCTTTGGGCGGGACAGTCCTGCTTTTTAACAATGTGTCCCGCGTCTCCCGCGTTTTAAAAAGCCGCGGGACACATTGTTAAAAATCGGGGCTGTCCCGCCCAAAGCGGGACGTCTGAGCACCTTGGGAGGAGGCTGGGATCTGGGTGGGAACGGCGGGGACAGTGGCGCCAGGCTCCCGGGAAGGACGGGTGCAGCCCCCAGGTGCCCGGGTCCCAGGCCCAGCACCGCCCGCCGTGGTTCGGTTTATTGTTTCTGAGAATTCTTCCCGCTCTGAGGGCCTGCCATCCCGGTGCTGGTGGGCACGGCGGGGAGCGGGCCGGGGGTGCTCTCAGGAGGGCCCTCGGAGGGCTCCTGCTTTTCTGTCCGCCCCGTAGTGACAGGGAGGGGAGGAAGGGGTGGTTCAGAGGCCATGGGGGCTCAGGCGGCCTCTCCCCCTGGCTCCCAGGTCCCCAACACTGTCCTCATCTGCATGGTGATCCTGCTGAACATCGGCCTGGCCATCCTGTTCGTCCACCTGCTGACCTGACCCTCGTCCGCCAGGTGAGGCCGGGGGAGGGGCTGGGGCTCACGGAGTGTTGTGGGCACCAGGGTGCGGGAACTGCTAGGGAAAACGGCCTGTGGCCTCCTGGGCCTCCTTCGCCCTGGGGTTCACGGAGGCCCATCCCCACCAGAGGCAGGGATCTGGAATGTGGATCCCTACACACACACACACACACACACACACACACACACTCTCGTACTCATTTGCTCCACATGTGTGAGCACCTGGTTTCTGTCAGGTGAGCACTGGGGGCCTCTCTCCATCCCTTTGATCAGCATTCACTGAGCACCTGCGTGGCTGGGATTTCGGGGTGCAGCAGGGACTCCGTCCTGTCCTGAGACATGGGGTGAGCCCCGTGGGAGCACACCCTTCATGTACGGCTCCTCATGTAAAGGCCTCACAGCTGTGCCCCTGGCTCCCCAGGTCCTCACAGGCCTGGAGTGAGTTCAGCTGGGATGGCTGGGCCTCTTCTCTCTCACCCCCAGCCCCCAGCCCCCAGCCCCCAGCCTTGACACCCTGCTGTCCGTCAGTGGGTCCCGTCCACTGGTTTTCTCCCAGTGACGGAGCTGGGAGGGCAGTCTGGGCACGGTCCCGTGAGAAGGAGGTGACATGGGCTGGGCTAAAGGCTAGATGGTCCTCACGGGTCTCAGGCTGATGTGTCTAAAAGACAGACAGCATCGTTCACCTGGTAGGACCAGTTTTTCCAGGGTAAATCCCGTGCCTGGTGATGCTGACAGGGGGCCTCCTGCCTGCCCCCACCAAAGGCCCTTCTCCCAGGTCCTAGCTTGGTGTGGGCTGGGGGACCCGTCTCAGGCCCCGAGAAGGAGAAGGAATCCCTGTCCTGTCGCCATGTGCACAGCCGATGACAGCGTGAGCAGTAGTGCCGCTGCCGGGGTAAATGCTGGGAATGAGCGCTGCAGGGACCTGAAGGAGGGGCCGGGGGAGCCCGTTGGCTGCCGGGAGGAGAGAGGAAGGGAAGCGGGAACCAGCGAAGGGGACCGCACCTGCACATGAGCGGAGGCGGCATCCGGAGGACAACGAATTGTGTCTGACCCCATCAAGTCAGGGCTGTGGGGCAGGGGTCCTGCCCCAGAGAAGATCAAGCCTGAGGCTTGACTCCTGCCTTGAACCTGGCCCAGCCTCCGTGCAGCCTCCCTCCGACTCTCACCTGACCTTCTTCTTCTTCTTCTTCTTTTTTTAAAAAATGTGCTTAATATATTTTATTGATTTTTTACAGAGAGGAAGAGAGAGCACTAGAGAGTTAGAAACATCGATGAGAGAGAATCATCGATCAGCTGCCTCCTGCACACCCCCCACTGGGGATGTGCCCGCAACCACAGTACATGCCCTTGACCGGAATCGAACCCGGGACCTCTCAGTCCGCAGGCCGACGCTCTATCCACTGAGCCAGACCGGTTTCGGCCCACCTGACCTTCCCGCTGTCTCTTTGCAGAGCCCGGAGTGCCTGCTGAGGACACAGGCCCGCCTCACTGCAGTGCTGGGCAGGGCGGCCGCGGAGGCCTGGACTCTGGACCCGGAGCCCCGGTCCCAGCTCACAGCCAGGCTGCGGACTCTTAAGGAGGCCTTCTGTGGCGCCCGTGCTGGGCGACGGAGGTGCCCGGCGGGATAGAACATGCTGGAAACCCTCCTGGAGCTTTGCCCAGGGGCAGAGACAGCCCTGATGGCTCCGGTCCCTCATCCTCATCCACCGCCTCACCTTGTCCCTAGGTCCCCCCCTCCCCAGGCTCTGTGTGTGTGGGAGGAGTCACCAAACCCGAGTACTGATACGAAATCCCGGGCCCTTCTTGCCGCCCCTCCCCGCTTTAACTTATCCCCCGGCTGCGGGGCTGGCAGCTCCCTGGGTGGCCGGCAGCCAGGGAGCGCTCTCAGGCGGTCCTGACCCAGCACGGACCCTGTCCCCTGCTCACAGGGGTTCGGGATGGCAGTAGAGGAGGTGGGCATGCTCCGTTTGACTATCCCAGAGCGCAGTGCTCCTGCCTCCTCCCGCCTGGCCAGCCAGCCTCCCTCTGGGCCAGCGGAGAGGAGGCGGCGGGAGGGACGGGAGCCTTCGGCTAGGAAGCTGCTGGCCCCTGTGCTCGGTGTGTCAGCCCGAGGCTGGCGTTGCACTTGGCGTTTCCAGCGTGCTTGGTGCAGAGGTCACCGTGCTCGGGCCTGGGCTGACGAGGTCCAGCCGCCGTGGTGCCCGCTTCCCCTGCCAGGGCCCGCAGCAGGCTCAGGGGACGCCGCGCATGGAGCTTTTGGAAGCCCAGACGGACTCCCCGGGGCAGACGTGCAGGCAGGGCTGAAGACCGGCTGCTTGTCGGCACGCATCCCCCAGGAGGAGGAGCGGCCTGTGCGATGCCCGGCCCCCGGCTGGCGTGCGGAGAGGTTTGCGTGCAGCTCGTCACGGATGTGTGGTGCCCCCCGGGCCTCTGGGCCCTGTGCCGGCCGAGATGGGTAGACGCGGAGGGCCGGCAGAAGCAGCACCGGGGGGATGGGTGACCGTCCCAGGCCCCCAGGCAGGAAGGAGGCGACAGTGACATCCCTCTGTGCCTGCGGGCCGGTGGCCCGGGCGTGGTGGGCCAGCCCCCCCCCAGGCCAACTCTGTGACCTGAAGTGCCTTCTGATGGGTGTGCTTTCCCTGCCCCCTCAGTACCTGGGGCCTCTGTCCAGCTTCACACGTGCTGCTAAGCCCGGGGCCCTCGGCGTGGCTGGGCCGTGGACCGCCTTCCCGCGGAGAGCAGCCTGCGGGCCGCCATCCTCCGCCCGCCAGGCCCGTGGCCTCCTCTGCGTGGGCTTCTCTGGACTCGGAGGGAGTGAGGGGCGGGCCGGGCGCTGCTGGGGCGGCCAGGCTCCAGGCCTGGGCTCCGGGTCGTCGTCCAGGTTTCTTGGTGTTTGGGGCGAGGGCTCAGGACGCTGCAATCTGTGCGATAATAAACCTGCATCTGCTCACAGGCTCCGGCGGGCTGCGTGTCTGCTTGTGGGCCTGGGATGCGGGGCTGGTGGGGGGAGTGTGAGAGGCTGGGGGCCCTGGGCCACGCTGGTCTGGGCTCTATCTCTCAGAGTTCCCACAATACCTCGTGAGGGGCAGCTCAGAGACCTTTGCAGGGCAGACCCTGAATCTCTAAAGCCGAGTTCCAGAAGCTTCCCTGAACAGCAGATGGTGGAAGAAAGAGCCCACCCTTTGAGGTCAGGTCTTCACAGGCTCTAATCTCGCTCACCTACCAATTTTACTTCCCTGAGCCTCAGTTTCCTTATCTGTACAACGGGGAGGGCGCCGGCCAGAGTGGCTCAGTTGGTTGAGCATCATCCTGTGCACAGAAAGGTAACCTGTTTGATTCTGTCAGGGCATATACCCCTCCATCTCTCCCTCCCTCTCTCTCTCTCTCTCTCTCTCTCTCTGTCCTCAAGTAAATGGAAAGGTAATAGGACGGGGTAGCTGCTGGGGTGGCGGCAAGGATTGCATTGAGCACTGGAGCCTAACGGGAAGCCCAGCTGTAGAGAGCATTGAGAAATGAGATTCCTGAGATTGGTGTCCTCACTGCTGTGGCGCTGTGTGTTGTCATTAGCCCCGGGCGTTGTGATGGATGACCTGGAAGGCCCGAAGGGGTGGGGATGATTCTGCTCCAATCCGACGGCCACAGAATGTTACAGAGAGGGACCCGGAGGCCATCGTCAGAGGCTCCGCAGAGAGACCTGCCCCAGCTGGCACAGCCAGGCAGCGGCAGGGGAGCAGCTGGCCCCTTCCCGTTAAGTTCCTCCCAAAGACGCAGCCCTGGTGACATGGGTGTCGGAGAGCATCCCTCACCCATCGAGGGGCTGGAGCCCAGGCAGGTCCAGGCGTGGGTCGGTGACCTGGTTCTCTCCCCGGTGCCACTAGTGGCTCGCTGCGTGTCAGTCATTCCATCTGACCGTGACTCAGTTTTTTTTCAAGTCCGTGCCATCGCCGTGTTCACGAGTAGCACACGTTTTCAAAACCCCAGGATCACCAGAAAGAAGGATGGACTTGCAGGAGTGGGCTTGGGAGAGTGGAATGAGGAGAGAGTTCTAATCCCCAGGACTTCGATAATATACTCAACAAGGAAAGGGTGGGCAGCCCGCCCTGCTGGCTGGTCTGTAGACTGGCTGTGTGTGTGTGTGTGTGTGTGTGTGTGTGTGTGTGTAATGGAGAGAGGGGTTAGGGGCAGCAGGTTGGCCAAATTAAAATCACCTTGGATGGTTTAAAAAGAGGCTCATTCCTGAGCCCCTAGTGGAACCTGAAAGTCAGGTAAGGTTGGTCGGAGTCGGGCGCCCCCTGGTGGCCCAGAAGCAGCCTGGTTGGTGTCTTTTCTGTCCAGGCCAGTGGCAGCTCCAGGCAGTTTGGTTTGGGATTGATTTGAGGCGTCTTGTGCTGGAGGGAAACCAAAAACCACCTTGTGCGCAATGCCCAGGCCCATGACCACTGACACTGGCGTGGGGTCTCAGCGGGACTCCTCCACGGGAGAGAAAGGGAGGGAGCCCTGGAGCTGTGGAGTTCAGATTTTGGATTTGTGGCAAGGACATTTTCATAACCTCTGATAGAGCCACAGAGGAGCTGGCTGTCTGGAAGAGATACCTTTGGCTGCATGTAACAGAAAACCAGCCAGATTACAACCTTAAACGGGAAAAATGATATGGAGCACCCTCTACCATGCACTACAAACAGTACACAATGCAAACAATGCCTGAACTGTACGGCACAAAAGTTGCTCGTATGTCAACATTAAAATAGGCTCTTAATTTCTTTTTCTTTGTGCAAAGTTCTGACTGTGTGCGTGGAGGCTGACCTTCTCCCGCCCTCCCCCCCCCCCCTCTGCCCCTGCCTTGCTGGCCCCCAGGAGAAGGGAAGGCCCCCCCGTTGGATGGAGGCAGGTGGCTGTGGGTCAAACGCTGCTATATGGTGGCAGAGCAGCCGTGCGCTTCGGGGCGGTCGCCAGGAAATCACATCGCTGGTTTAACATCGCAAA